AGTGGCTCAGCGGTAAGTCAATGGGATAATAACACCAAAAATCTGGTTTCGATCCCCATGATAGGAATAGTACAGATAGTTCATGATAACATTTTTATTAAACTAAAAGGGTTGGCTCAAGTGTTATAATATCATAGACATGATTTGTGTTTCCATTGTTACTACTTGTATTGCTATTGACGTTTGTTTTTTTAGCCGGTTTACTAAAGTTATTTTAGGTTCTAGCATCGTGCTTTTGGCTTTTACATATTTAGTTGTTTTGATCTCAAAACTTCAATCAACTTAATAGTTTGAGCCCATGTGTAAGTAGCTTTTTTTTGTATTTTGTCAACCATCTTTTATGCACTTGTCATGTTTGTGTAATATTAGGTAAATAAAGTAACAAGCTCTTATTGCCCTATGAAATTTAATCTCTGTCCTTGCCTAAATGCTTCTTCATTTCCTGATTGGTAACTTGATGGTAGTGACGTTTAAAACTTCTAACTACTGCATGGTTAATCCATTACTTTTAATGAACTACTTGGCGATGTTCATGTCTCCAGACCTTACTTTTCTCATACGAGGAACAGATTAGATTAACATGACATGTTTAGTGATTGCAGTTACTCCACTATACCAATTACAATTCAATGAGCAAATTGTTATATTGCATTCCCATATAATTATGCTGTCGTTCTAATGTGGGTAAGGCGGATTGGGGTAATATGAAAGACTAGTTTCAAGCTCTAAGTCCGCCAAACATTAATCAGATCTTGTTCGTGTTGACATCAAAAAATATTTTTAGGTGTCATGTGGTGCGAAAATAATCGAAGAATCTTCATTAAGAGTGAAATGAACCAATATCGTTTGAATTCAGTAGGTAAGTGAGCTTCCACAAGTAGTGGTTTTAAACCAAGAGACTAGGTTGTTTCAGAACTACATTCTAGAGAACAGGTGTGCTAGGATGTAGCTCTGAAATTTACTAAGAGTTAAAATGTTCCGTCAGAGATCTCCCAGAATTAAAACCTAAGCTAACTTCCTTGTAACAAATGGTAAAGTATATAGGTAGTTCTTTGCCAGCAAAAACAGTCTTACATCAAATACTTACTGTCCTGTGTCCATGTCATTTATAATATAATATTTACGAGATAATCTTGTAACAAAATCACACGCATGCCTGTAGAGCGAAAAATATTAACTTATGGAATAAAACGTTGCAACCATCCAAAGAGAAAAAATAAAAGATACCAATGTGTGTGACTACTGGAGCGAACGTCCACGTGTTGTAGTTGAATGTAAGTAGCACAGACTAAAGTATTTGCATTCCCTACGGTTTAAAATTACGAAAGAGTAAATATTGATATGACGTATCATACATTCATACCTGACGTTTTCATGTCATAAATATATTGTAGTCAGTGTTTAACATTAAAAGCTAAATGTCTGCCTCTCTTTTCTGTTATGATAATCTGATTCGTTTGATTTTAGCATACGGTTTAGAAGGAAAGATTGTATTTCATTAAATATTATAAATTTGAATGTTTTAATTTACACCGACTAGCTATTTCTTTAGGATCCCTGACTAATATCGAGTTGTGCTATTTTCGACGTGATAACAACATGGATTTCACATGGCATTGTAGGCTTCACAACATGCTTGAAGACGTCTTGTTGAACTGTGGCTCATTTGTTGAAGATTATGGTCTATATTTGGCTCATAGATATCGATATAGTTTTATTGTGGTGAATTATATATTGAAGGTTATCCAAAAGATAATATTTTGTTAAGAAATAAGTATTGGGAGTATTTAATTGTAACGGATTGTTGCATCATAGTCTTGGAAGAGCTTTCGTTCATTAGGATATATATGTAGTATTGTATGGATTGGATATAATCATCAATAGCATCCAGGCACATCTTGAATGTTGTAATTTCATTTTTCTAACAGTCAAAGAACCCAAATCCTGTGCAAAAATGTTTTTACAAAATTAACACCATCTTCAGGGTCATATAATTTCGGAGCAACGCAAGCACGTTCAAATACCTCATGTGTTTATATTAGTAGAGAGAAGGGTAAAACTTGACTCATCAGGCTACTCCAAACGTTTCTATATAGTCATTTTTTCTCGAAATTTTACACTCTAAACACCATGAATTTCTTTACACATTTAAGATAAACCATTTTTGAAGTTGTCGACTACCACATAACAGTTTTGGGGATATTTTCCGTATAGTACTAGCCACTGTTAAAGTAATCATTAAAATGGGGCAAAATTTGATGAATTATATAAACCTGTTCATTGTCGTTTTTCTTGATCAATCACTACTGGTTGGCAACTACAATTTTTCCTAGTTTCAAACATATTATATACTAGCTGAAGTACTCATCCCCTGGACGGAAGTTTTGTAAATTCATGATTAATGAGAGGTTATCTTAGGACATGAAAAGTTGCTTCCCTTATATATAATTGTAAAAAACCCAAAATGCAAAATTTAAAATTTGTATGTATTCCTCATAGACTCAACAAACCTTCATGCCAAATTTTGGAGAAGATCCATCAACAGGAGGTGAAGTAGTGGTAAAAAATAAAAAAAAAATGCGAAAACGCAAAAACGACCATAAAAACCGCAAAATGCAAAACTGAACATTGTATGTTCTCCCGCATGGACCTAATGAACTTCTATACTAATACACATGCGAAGTAGGACATGGACATACAACAGACAGTAATACTGTGTGTATATATAGATTCATTAACTCTGTTGTTAGACTCCAATGAATGGGAACTGTGAACAGATGGCTAAAGGAATGGCGTATAATAATATAACAATGACGAGTTAGTATATAAGACTTTTTGAGTTACTAAATCACAACTTCAAAGCTATTAAATAATAAGACTATTGACGTAATGAGATTCTGCATAAGTCTAAATTGAAACTTGACTAAAAGTTGCAGTTGACTAAAAGAAATGTTAAACACAAACTGAATCGTTGTGTTGAGGCACACGTTTCTTGCTCTCCAGTAGCTCAACGGTAAATCTGAGGGATTATAATGGTGTCCACCCTCAGTGAGTCAGTTTGAACTGTTGTGTTGAGGCACACCGTTTCTTGCTCCCAAGTAGCTGAACAGTAAATCTGAGGGCTTATAATGATGCCCTCCCCCGGTGAGTCAGTCAGCTTACGGAGTTACAACGCTAAAATCCAGGGTTCAGTTACACCTGGTGGATAGTCTGGTTTGAATTTCGCGCAAAGCTACACGAGGGTTATCTGCGATAGCCTCCCCTAATTTAGCAGTGAAAGACTAGAGGGAAGGTAGCTAGTCATCACCACCCACCGTTAACTCCTGGGCTATTCTTCTACCAACGAATAGTGGGATTGACCGTCACATAATAACTTTCCCACGGCTGAAAGGACGAGCATGTTTGGTGGAACGGGGATTAAAACCCGCGACCCTTAGACTGCGAGTTGAGCGCCCTAACCACCTGGCCATGCCCGGCCCTGTGATGGATAGAGTGCAGATATCACACGATGTAGCTTTGCATTAAGAAAGTAACAACCATAGCTTATAACGATAAAAATAGGGTTTCCGAAGCCGCGGTGGACAGAGAACAAGTAGACTATTTTTATACCTTTAGCAAGAAATAATCACTATATATTCTGCTATTATTTAATCACTACCACTAACATTTTACATCTAACATGATAATTCCCCCAGGCTCGATTCCAGAACATTCTATTAAAGATGCCTTTACGAAGTTTGGTAACCATTATTTGTTTGACTGATTTCTTGAATAATAATAACTGGAAATTAGAGGGGCATAACGCATACCTCAGCCACGCAGCGCCGATCATATTCGGCTCTCATAAAATAAGAAAATGTGTCCGTGTATCAATCGTTATCAGCGGACACGGACCATTTTTGACAGGACAATGAGGAATTATATTCTACATATGCCCACTAAGTGTCATCAACATGCAATCATTTTTGACTGAGCAATAGAGCAAAAATAGTGTGAAAAATCGGTACCAATGTTAACGGATAAGGATTTTTTGTAACCTTGATCTTTAACCCTCCAAAAACTAATCATTTCTAAGATGGGTCATAATTCAAATCTATACCAAGTTTCGTCCAAATCCATTCAGCCGTTTTTACAAACACTCATACACACACACACAGGGGTGAAAACATAACTTTCGGTGGCAGGGGTAAATAAGAAACACATTTCCTATCTCCACCAACAAGCTATCGTATACGGTGGGGCACTTTGTATGTTATAAAATGAACAAAGGTATTTTTGTTATACGCTCAGTATTATGTCCGTAATGAAGTCGCCCGTAAAAGTATTGGACTGAGAATATTATGTGAGATTCTGAAGTTAGTGGCAGTTTATTTTAGTATAATAATGTTTAAGCTCAGCATGTGTTACAAACTATAAGATTACGTTTCCATAATATCTAAAATACTTGCTTGATATTCATTATTACTGTTCTCCAATCTTTTGACACTGTTCTTTAAAAACATTTTTTTTCTTAGTGTTACCATCCGTCCTTTGATGTTGGAAATTTTTTCTGAAGAAGAGAAAACAGAGACTGGGATTACGTTTACAAGGATTCATGCAATTAAACGATCGCGTCTCGAGTGCTGTTTTCCTGAGTTCTTACTACATTAATTATTCAGGATTCTTTACCTACGCTAATTGCCTTGTAAAGCGCAAAATCTGGTTATTCCCATTTTTGTTAGAAGGGACAACTTTAGGTAGTTTAATTAGAGAAATTTTAAGTGACGATATTCCATTTTAAGAAGTTAAAAACCTTTCAGAAGAAGTGAAACTGAGCGGGGCTCGAATCCGCGACTCTGCTAATCAAATATTGTACTCCGTCTCGAATACCCCAAGTCGTAGTTTTCTCTTTGCTGGTTGTTATTGTTGAAATTCTTGAAGTATTTTAATTGACTTGTGAAGTTCTAGAACCGTTCATTGTAATTTGTTGTTGGAAGTAAAGTATGCAGATTAATAAACAGATTTTTCAGAATGATATCTACGAGTGGTCTAGAGATCACCGTGTGCACCATAAGTTTACGGAAACAGATGCTGACCCACACAATATCAAACGAGGGTTCTTTTTCGCTCACATGGGCTGGTTATTGCATAAGAAGCATCCTGACGTTCGAGAAAAAGGGCGGACTGTCGACTGTAGCGACATCTTGCAAGATCCTGTAGTCAGGTTTCAGAAAAGGTAATGATCTCTCGTCCAATCAAAATCGGTTTCTTATAAACCCTTAGCTGCTGAAATATTTTAAAGTAACTTTAAACAATATATTTACACATTATGAAAATAAAGTTAAATAAAAACAACATCTACACTCTAGATAATTAAAAGAGAACTTGTATTTCAATCAACGTTTCGCTTTTGCGGCTTATTCAGGGCTAGTACATAAAACTGTTTCATATTAGATTATTTGTTAAATTATGAAACTGCTGTTGATGTTCTATTTCTCGAGTCTGCCGTAAGGTGCCTCTAAGAATGTATAGATTATTATTATCATTACTGTTTCACTATTGTTCTAATATCATAGAATAGTTATAATAGTAACTTTACAACTATAGTAACATATGACATACTAGCCGGAGTACCCGTCCCCTGGACGGAAGTTATGTAAATTCATGATTAATGAAAGGTTATCTTAGAACATGAAAAGTTGATTTTTCTTATATGTAATTGTAAAAAACGCAAAAACGGCCATAAAAATTGCAAAACGCAAAATACAAAACTGAAAATTTGTATGTACCCCTGCCTGGACTTAATGAACCTCCATACTAATTTTGGTGAAGATCAATCCACACCATGCGAAGTAGTTACATTGGACATACAATAGACAACAGACAGTACTATTATATTTATATAGATATAAAGTATAAAAATAAAGAGAACCACAAAATGTTTTATGATTACTTTTAGTTTAACACTTGCGTGCTCTGGAGTATCACACTGTCTTACAACTTGTTTTTAACACTGCAGGTAAGCTTTAAATCCTCTCAACTTAATTTTTTTCTTTCTTAGCAGCTTCTTCCATTTTCCGTCTATGTGTTTTTGTAGCTAATCATCAAACATTCTACGATTCTTTTTTAATTTCCACGTTAACGCTGATGTTTATATTCGTTTCCAAGTAGTTCTTAGATCTTTTAATATTATTATCCGCATATATTAAGAGCTAATGCTTATATTTCATTTACTGTCTCACATATGCTTAGCATTAACCAAAGTGCAAACTTCCAATTCTCTTAGGCATCCCTGTTCATGCCGTTTCAAAATAAATCCGTATATAGATGTTGTTGTTCTATTGTGTTCTCATTCTTAGTTTCACATCATTAATCAATGCTTAGAAAGTTAATCATAAGTGTAACTACTGATGTAGAAACTACATTTTTGACAGGTTCTACATCCCCTTGGTTTTCCTGTTCAGCTTTTATCTTCCAACAATGATCCCCGTTTGGCTGTGGGGTGAAAGGGCATGGTTTGCACTTCTTACCAGCGGTATTCTGCGTTATACCATTACATTGCACATTACTTGGTTGGTGAATAGTGCTGCCCACTACTGGGGAAATCGACCATACAACTGTTTTATCTACGCCAGAGAAAACAAGCGTGTGGCCTGGTGGGCACTTGGTGAAGGTTTTCACAACTATCACCACACATTTCCTTATGATTATTCCACAAGTGAGTTTGGGTGGAAATTGAATATAACTACGATGTTCTTAGATCTCATGGCTACGTTGGGCCAGGCCTACGACCTAAAGTCCGTGCCTGCCGACGTCATCGAGAAGACTCGACAGAAAACCGGAGATGGCAGTCTGACATTTTAGTAGTAACTGCAGGTGTGGTCTTCGCAAATTTAACTTTCGCAAATAACCTACTTTATCATGCTATTTGACGAACGACAACTTAATTGCAGATTTCATTGATATGTAAGGTGGAACATAGTGATTCTTAGCATCACGCCTATTTTTCTTAATTTTTAAAAATAAATTTGATCATTAAAACTAAGGTAAAGAGAATGATTTAAGACATAAGAAGTTTTCGTCGTTTACACTGTGATCCAGAATTACAGATAAAACAATCCTATAATTGTAATTTATGTTATGTTATTTATCTAAAGAAAGAAGTACAAAGATCATCGGGAAAGACAACAATACTACCAGTACTGCAATAAAGATCTACAGTGAGATAAAATTGCTAAAAAAATATAAATAATAAATTTATTGTTGTTCTTCGTGTTAGTGTTAATCTAAATTGCTATTCCTGATCGCCAGTGAATGCACTCTGAAATACGTAACTGTATTGCAATGACTTTCTTATCAGGTGGGGTATTAGAAGTAAAGTGATAAGCATCAGGAATACCAACAAATATCATGACTTTCTTATCAGGTGGGGTATTAGAAGTAAAGTGATAAGCATCAGGAATACCAACAAATATCATATTGCTACAAGAGAGGTACATCTAAAATATGGAGTATTACAGATAATATCGAGGTAGATAAATATATGAAGAATTATGTATATTATGAATACTATATATATATTCACACATTTATAGCTACTGATAATCGATATTGCAAAAACTTATACATCGATTCATAACTGTTTTTTTTTCATTCATAAAACAACATAACAGTGTTTCTTTCATGGAACATGAAATAGGAAGAGAAACTAATACAATTAATAAGTAATTTCATCCACACTATTTACTATCTCTTTCTGAAATTCATAAATTGGCGTCCTCATGGTTAAAAAATATCCAGATTTTTAACTTCAATAATAAGTTGAACAAATTATACATGTTTGTTTAAGAATTTGTCATTGAACGGAATTTGTTAACGTAAATTTTAATTTCATTTCCAAATTTAACAAAAGAAGAGTCCTTAATTCAAGAAGGAAAATATTCTTATTTTGTCAGCAATATCAGAATTAATGATTGTTTTCCTTTGTGTATTTTATTCCCTTGTATGAATATTTCCGTCGTGAGAGTAAGTTACATAAAAAAGCGAAAAAAATCCATAAAAGTAAGTAAAATATACCCGTTATGTAAAAAAAACAAAAACAAATAACGACCATCATTCATTTTTGTGTTCTAGCAGTACGTTTACTGCATCATTTAACGGTTGTTGCCAAACTAGAATTTAATCTTAGTTAAAATGAATTGATTGTGGTACAGTTTTATACACAAACGATTATGTCCAACCAGAATGTTTGTGCTTGCTACAGGGAATCCAAGTTTGTTTAAAGTAAATGATTGTAAAAGTTACAGTCAGTTTAACACAATTTAGTTCTGATTATAATTATTCAGCTTATTATGCTTTGGTTTCTCAAATATGATTAAGACTGTTTGATAAGTATATTATTAATTACATGTGGAATAAAACTTCACTCAGGATGTTAGTTTTTTTGCCTTATTTGTTCTTTTCATGCTTATTTTTTTCTCTGTAAAGTCAGATTAATCAATTGAAAATTCAGTTTCAGTTGATTTCAAGATTTTTACTCAAGGTTACACAAATAGTTATATCAGCACCCAGCGATAACTGTTAGGGTGCTCTTGTAAGACTGAATAGTGGTAATTAACCGTCACACTTATAACGTCCCAGACCTCAACGTGTGGAGCAAGTGTTTTGCGACAACGAGCCACGAACCACGAAACCTCAGATTCTCAGTCCAAGTACGCTAAAATGTAGGCCAGGCCTGGCTCCCGCTTAAAATTTTTTAATCGCTTGTTGCATGACTTCTCAGTGTAAAAACTGATTTTCTTGTTAATACATATAGACCCAAAGATACGGAGATTTAGCATACCGACTCCGACCAAAAGGTTGACTACATTCTGATTATATAAAATTGTGTGCCAAATTCAAATCCGTAAGTCTTAAGTACACCCGATGGGTGAAAAGGCTTCAACACAAAATTTGAATGAGTGGGATTCACAGAGATTTGGGTGGTATGTAGAAGATGGCACGTACAAGATTAGGTGTTTCAGTGGTTCATAGATTCCTGAAGAATTGGTGACTCATTTGGAAGACCTTCCACATGTTACAGAGGCAGACAATGATGACATTGAGGACCAAGTTTATGATTCTAAGAGTGATGAGTCTGTATTTTCAGATGCAGACGAAGAGTGCTGGGTGAACTATGAGTACAGTGGGAGTGAATAAACAGTTGATTGTACAAATAGATATAATTTGTGTTTTTTTAAGAGATGTGAAGTCAAAAACGATAGTCCATGCTCTTTATATTAATGTAAGCTATGGAATAAGCACTGATAAGTGAGATTTGCACTATTTCATTCTTTGCTTTAATCATACTGCTACATTGAATAAATTGGAATGTAATAAAAATATTGAATGACTGTTTCATTTCATATAGTAATTCATTGGTCAACATCATAAAATAATTGCAAATGGTAATCTTGTGAAATCAGTAAATAAATGACAGGAAATAGAGGAATATCACAAAACGAGGCTGTAATAAGAAACAGCCACTGCTGCTTCGGATGTAGGCTTGGCATTTTATTTTTCATAAATTGAAAGCTATTTTACATAAAACTTTAAATAATATATAATTTGAAAGGCAAAATATAGAGCTTTACAAGAGTATTCATTTAATACTCCAGAAAACACCAATATTTGGAGAAAACTATTATGAATGATTTTGTGATTGTTTTTAAAAATCCCGAAAGCGAGACATAAAAATGAGATTTAACACTCCTCCACTACCATAATACCCAAATGGTATTATTGAAGTTGATATATTTTGAAGCTATTCATTGTGCCTTTAAGAAAAAAGTGTCATTTGTATTATATCTAAAGACATTCTTGGAGTGTTTTTGTATTAGAAGATAAATGGGTATTTTTCAGACTAGTTTGGCTTGGATGTGACAGTACCATACTTCAAGTTCAATTTGAAGCCTTTTCACCCATTCGGTGCTCCTAAGACTTACAAATTTGAATTCGGCAGACGATTTTCAACAATATGCTTTGGTCGGAGTCGGAATGTTAAATCTCTGTATCTCCGGGACTGAAATACAAAATATTTTTTTGTTTTGAAAAGAAAACACACACACACACACACACACACACACACACACACATATATATATATATATATACTAAATCTATAAACTCCACTGAATAATAACTGATAATTAATTGCGACGGTACATCACATGTCATAAAAACACCTACAGTGATTTAGGTTGTTAGCGGTGAGTGAAGGACTTTATGTTAAAACATAAAGAAACTGCTCGTATTTTACCACTATATGAAACTTATGTTATTTATTTGCTTCGCTTTTCCAAACTACATTGATAAGCTGTGAATTCAGCTGAACTACTCTGGTGCAGCAGAAGCAGCGAATCAAAGAATAGAGTGGGCCTCTACGTCACTTTTTCTTCACTGACATTCACGTTTTGGTGAATAAAAGAAATTAACAGTCCAATAAACACGAACTTCACTAAACTAAATGAACAATATATTATATCAAAAATTTAATAATTTCACCAACTAAAAAAAAAACAACAACAACAGACTGAAAGTATAAACTGTTGAAGTTACGAGATTTTCAATCATAACGAAAATGTGATTAGCATAGATGTTAAAAGAAGATGATTATCATCATGTGATGACTATGTTGATGAATGATATTGTGATTGCTAGCTGATGATTTTTAGTTTACATATAAAAATATTCTTAAATTTCCGCATTAGATTAAATTTACAAAAAATCTGAGTAGAAATATACTTAGTTTTCGACATGTTAATAAGACACTAAAAAGTCTTTTGCAATTTCTTATAAAGAAAGAAACTTGTATGAATTTTGGAATGTAGATGCGATCTAAAATTTCGCCTGCACATACTTTTTTTGAAAGATTATTTGTACTTCTTTAGATGAACAAATAATAATTTGATGAAATGTCAAGCCTTTTTGATTTTTTAGAAATTTTACAACATGTTTTCATTTTATATTAATTTAACAATACGAAGAAAAACTACATATAAAAGTTAAAACTAAAAAACGGTCATAATGCCTTATCTCAAGTTTACGAAAGAATGATAAGTACACTGCTGCTTATTAAATTGATTTTTTTTTGTTTATTCAGATGTGGACACCGTATTTGTGTTTTAAGAAGATAGTGTCTTGAAACATCATTTATAAAATCGCCATTATCAAATGAATATTTCGCATGTTGGTGTTATTTTTCTTACATTCTTTTTCACTTCCTTTATCTCCAATCACCATAGGGTATTCTTCCTTATAATGAACTTAATTTGTGATTTTTCAATACAGATTAAAAGGCACGTCTGGATTAAACTTTAGAAATTAAGATTAAATTATCCAGCAGATAGTTCTGAATTCAAATTTAGAAATAAAGAGTAGTTTATCCAGCAGGCAAGGCTGGATTAAACTTTAGAAATTAAGATTTAATTATCCAGCAAGTAGTTTTGGATTAAACTTTAGAAATTTAGAGTTGTTTATCCGTCAACAATTTTTACATGGTCTGTGTTTCATTTTAGCTGAAAGCTTTTTTTTTTAGAATACATCTTTATATTCTTAGTTGTTAAATATTAAGAGAATATCTCTCGTTTCTAGACGTAAGACTATGTAAATGATGTATATTTGAAACGTGGGGAATTTATCAATAGAATGCTAATAAAATTTGGAGACGGCTTGAATGGGTAACAAAGAAATCATTATTACAATTTAACAACGTTTCTTCAAGGTTTTGTCATCATGAGGTCAAGCTATCTTCAGATTTTATTAGTCGCAAAGTGAGTTCTTCTTCATCAACAAAATACCAATAGGCCCTGAAGCCGCAGGATTATTATGTACAATGACATTAAAGGTATTTAAATCTATATTGAACTCTACAAGTTCCAATTCTACGTATAACTTCTGATAGATATTTTACACTATTCTATATTGATTTTTGCACGCAGTTTGAGAGATTTAGTCATTCAGTGATTCAACAACATAAGACTGTTTATAAAATGTAGTGACTTTAATCGCATCAACTTACACTAGCTATCTATAAGTGCAATAGAGCGCGAAAGAGCTAAATAAAGGCTGGCATTTAGTAGGAAGAGATTCACCTTCATTAGAAAGTTTTGTATCATCAGTCAGGTTCAACTTTTCGAAGGCTATCTGAAAGCTAATTCAACTTTTCGAAGGCTATCTGAAAGCTAGTTCAACTTGTCGAAGGTTGTTCATTACTTCCACTTGACACACATTTCTTTGTTCAAGAGATTTGTGCCTTCAAGAATGACGGATCATTGTGTGCAGTAAACATATAAATTCTGAAGTGGAAGGACAGTAAAGACGTTTTGTGTTGTCAATAAGGTTTCTGTGTTGCAAAACAAAAAAAATAAAAAAATAAACGCTTTCATTTGAGTGAAATTAAACCTTTTCTTTTTGAATAAAAAAGTTAATATAGTCTGGTGTAAATAGTTAATGAATGTTATTTTGATTATTAAATCGCAAATAAGAAAATTATATTGTTGTTTCATCCATACCCTTATTGATTTTATTCTAGCCACCATCTGGAGGCCACCTATTTGCTCCACCCAAGTTAAAAATATTATTATGTTTATTTGTATTATATGAATGGCGGGAGCTAGCTAGACGTTTTTGATCCCATACGTCTTTGTGTCATAAATATATCACCACAAGTTTAATTAATGACCTTTTCAAACATAGTGTCTAAAATAGCTCTGAATCAAGATATCGTGGCCTTGTGTGTGACATGCGAATGTACTTTTTCTCTCGTTGGGATGGTTAGTAGTCTATACGGTCTGTTAAGTCTAATTATTAATTGGTAACTAATTTTGATTTTTGTATAACTAGATACTAATTATTAATCAGTCATTTCTATTTTTTATCCTACTTTTCTGTTGTTAATTCTGCTACCACATTCAGAGGAGTCCTGAGAAGGACTGTACTTTTATGTTTGAAAGAGGCTGGGATTCGATCTCGAGTTTTCTTGATGAAAGTCTGGTGCGTTCATTCATTTGTTAGCCACTAGTTAATTACTAATTAATAATTACATTAAAGTAAAGTATAGGATACTAGCTGCGACAACGACTGATATCAACTCGCCCCAGCCTTACCGTAAGTTCATAATTGTTCTCACTATGTTGTTACTTCCCACATTATATTTTTTCTGAATGTTGTTTATTGGTTTACTCAGCAAATCCACTTGATAAGAAATCCTGTAGAAGTTACAAGGCTTTTACAACTCTGTAGGTTTTGCATGAAAAATCTTCTTGAGAAAATGGGAAACAACCACTAAATGCGCTCGCATAATGATTGATGATGTATTTTTGGCAAGTTTTGGGTTTGTTTGTAATGAAATGAAATCTTGTATCATGAAATCTTGTATCTTAACATTCTTAATATTCTCTCTTTACAAGTGATTATATTTCTTTAATATTACGCATGATTAGTCGCTGCTTCATATTTGTTTACACTTGATGTTACATAGGTATATATATATATATATAAAGCTTCTGTGACACGTGACATGGATCATTTGTATAAAATGCAAGTATCAGAAAGACAGTCGAACAATCTAAGTTTATTTAAGTAGCTGTATTAAATTTGTTTTCCTCAATTTTGCAAGTTTCGTCTCGGTAAGAGATGGGGAAGTGGTTTTAAAAATTTCAAGTTTTTCTTAAAGCTTTAAATCAAGACTTCTAGGAGTATATCTTTGGTGACCTAATGAAAAACATTACACGTTATTTGCTAAATATTCTGTTTGTAATACCCCCATTTAAAAACTTTTGTTAGAAATGTTCGTAAGTTAACTTTTGTGCGAATTATTAAAGTGATGTATATATTTTGTGTTATAATTTGGAGCACATTTGTTTAAAAAACAAATACTAACAAAATTGGCGCTAGGCGATCTGGCCCTTCGATACTTTAAGTATAACCACAGTTTTGAAGTTTCTAATCAATCTCTGATACAAATGAAAAGTAGGCAGTTAGTAGTGACTCTAACATTATCTTTCATGTTTCTCAGAGTGAAATTCAACCAAGGAAAGTTATCACACTTCATTATCATTTGGAACCTGACGAAAAAAAAAGTCGTCAAACGAATCTATTAACTTTCAGATTAATATATATATATATATATATGTGTGTGTAAGTGGATCAGTTCAATTCTCTTTTATCATATGATTATTGAAAGTCTTGCAAGGAAAACAAAGGCCGTCATACTAGACTGAGTATAATTAACTTTGAGCTATATTAAATGTAACGTCGTGTGTTTATTGTAAAGTGGCATAGACGTAAAATATATTACACAGTTGTTTTATAAACGTCTGAGTTTTAATCATAAATTTTTATCAGGTTTCAAGTATGAGTTTTTACATGAATCTCACATTTTGTCAAAATATAAAAAACAATAATTATTTACGAATAAATTTAGATTAATTCTGAGTTAGGGTATTTTATTATTTTGAATTAGATACATAAATCAAGAGCAGGTTCTATTTGTTGCATTGCTCGTAATCAGGAAATTGATTTGAGTTGTTTAACGCTGTCATTCAGGGTCACGAGAAATGTTCGAATCTCCATAGGATTTAGAGTGATGTTAAACTCAGGACCTGTAGGAGCATCTCTTTGGTGACCTATAAAAAAACAACCTACAAATTAACAGCTAAATATTCCTGTAAATCCTCTATCAGATCTGTTCGTAAGTTAAAGCTTCTGCGAATTATTAAACACAAAATATAAATGTAAACAAGCAAAATTCAATGGACTCTTAAAAAATATTTGGCTAGAGTGTTTGTCATCCCTAACTATTTATTTTTCAGACTTCACATAATTTGGATATTTAATAAAACTGATCATTACAATTATACAACACGTTCGCATTATTATAGAATATGTATCAAATGAGTTGGGTGTAAAACTCCTTCTTTTACTAATGAAATGCTACGATTACTTGAAATGCTTATTGTTAAAGGGCAACATAAACTACAACATTACGCGTTTAATATCTAAATACATAGAAAAAACAATAGTTAAAACTACGGCCAGGATAATAAGCGTAGCATTTATACATTTAACAATCTCATGAGGAAACTTTGGTTAAATAATGGAAATTGAGTGAGGCTTTGTAAGATATATATATATATATATATATTTTAACGGTAGTAAAATTGTGAAGTAAAAATTCTAAGAAACTTTTTATTTTAGCATTTTACTTGTTTCTAAATTTTTTCATTGTTTATTTTGTAAAATTACACAATAGGCTATCTCTGCTGTGCCTACCACGGGTATCGAAACCCGTATTTTAGTGTTATAAGCCTCCAGGCTTACCGCTGAGCTTCTGGGAACAATTTTTGTCTTTTTTCATATATTTATGAATTGATTTAAGTATTATATATTATAAAATCCATTGACACAATTTTATTTTATAATTTACAAAAATTACCACAAATAAGCTTAAGTTGTCACGAGTGAACCACTTTAGTGAACAATAAACCGACCTGTATTGACGTTGGTGCGTGTCGAGTTGTGCTCTATGTTCCACGCGAACCTCGAGGCTTTTCGTAGCGGTTGGTTAGCTCCAAGCGTGGTTTCTGTTACGTTCACCACGTTGAAAGGTGTAAACATATCCTGAATGAAAAAATAAAAGAGTTTTATCGACATTTATTTCTAACAAGTAACGTCAGTAGTTGTTCTAAACAGTTGCTCTGAAAAAAATGTCTGTCCCCCAAACTCATTCTAAGCAATGTGTTGTTTGAGGAATTGAGGAATGGGTTGTTTGTGGGACTGAGTTGTTTGAGGAACTGAGAAATGGGTTGTTTGTGGGACTGAGTTGTTTGAGGGACTGAGAAATGGGTTGTTTGTGGGACTGAGGAATGAGTTGTTTGAGGGACTGAGCATCTGAATATGCTCTTAATGGAAGCACATGCTCATCAGTCTTAATTTCAGGTACATCAGTTTTAATTAGTACAATAATTATCTTAAATGGAACATGCCTTAAGAGATACGTTGGCAGGTTTAGATAAGCCGCGGGGATCATCAGTTTTCTCGAAAAAATGTTCCAATCGCAAGAGGACAGAATTTCCCTTCCACTGCTCTAGAGTCAACAGATGGATATTGGGCGGGAGAGGACGCTTTAATCCTGAATACTGGAATATAAAAAAAAACAAATATATGTTAAACGTTTAGAAAGAAATGCTTTGTAAAGTTAATACAGTTATTGACACTCACGTGGTGTCCAGTGTGAGAAATTACTTCAGTTTAGAACACTAACGTGTAAAAAATACGGTAATGCCCAACAAGGTAACCTTACTAGCTGGAAATACACGTTTTTTTAGTAATCATATAAATACTATTTTTCACTGAATATGATATCTTATAGAGTTATATTGATAAACAAAGTCAGTCAAATATGAGTTGCACATTTGCTTTCTGAGCCATTCAAATAGTATTCAGTTAAGACCATACGAAACACGAGAAGCGAAATGTATATATATATAATTCGCATTAGTTGAAAGAAATGCATTGTCATTTGTAACGTTCAAAACTGCATTTATTGTATTTCATGTAAAAGAAACACACGTCGTTGTTATGATTACATTGCGAACAGAAATATCTACATTATAACTTTTATTTTCTAGCTAAGGGTTGAGAGAAGTAACGACATTTACTTATATTTAAAAAAATATCGTATTTATCAGAAGCTAGTACTAACTGTCAGGATCTTCAGCACTCATATAATAACTGTTGTTTGTATCTCTTTTTATGTCATATCACGTAAAAACTAAATTCATTAAAAGTTTAAAATGCTTAGCGTACTCTTCCGCATAGCACTAAAACGAAACCTGCTAACCTAATTATGGAACAACTTTTGATTTTAAATCTGTGCTAAAGAACGTTTAACTTTCACTTTACCTTGAAGCAATTTAAACCGGTATGTTTAAGAACACTTCACGTGATACACATGTTAGGGACTCTCTAGACTTTAATAAATCAAATATTAAACAAGAACAACTTTTTTTTTAAATGCGTTTTGACGTATTTACATGTTTATAAGCTACATATACATTAAATTGCTTGTGGGTCCATGGTTAAGTTCATAATAACATATGAGTTGGTCTGGTATGGCCAGGTCGTTCGACTTGTAATCTGCGGGTTCGAATCCCAGTCCCACCAAACATGCTCGCTCTTTCAGCCATGGGGCATTATGATGTGACGGTCAATCCCAATATTAGTTGGTAAAAGAGTAGCCCAAGAGTTAGCGGCGAAAGATGATGACTAGCTGCCTTCCCTCTAATCTTTCACTATTAAATTAGAGACGGCTAGCGCAGATAGCCCTCGTGTAGCTTTGCGCGAAATTCAAAACCCAGTCATGCGAGTCACACAAAAATGGGAACAAAATACCACCAAAGCTTTAATTAATACCAATAATTGCCTCTATGTATTTTACATATAAAATAAGTGAATTCATCCTGTTGTTTTTGTCAGATCTTTACACTCAATGTGATGCAGTATGTAGACCTCACTGACAGTAAAGTGTTTAAAAACAAGTCAGTAATTTGAGGGTTAAACAAGACAAACGAACTACGTTGGATTGGTTTTTTGTTTTGAATTTCGCGTAAAGCTACGCGAAAGCTATCTGCGCTAGCCGTCCCTAATTTAGTAGTGAAAAACTAGAGGGAAGGCAGCTAGTCATCACCACCCACCACCAAGTCTCGGGCTACTCTTTTAACAACGAATAGTGGGATTGACCGTCACTTTATAACGCCCCCATATCTGAAAGGGCGAACCCGCGACCCCCAGATTGCGAGTCAAACGCCCCAACTACGTTTGGTGTGGAGAAGTTAAAAGTGTATGTCTTTTGGCTTTGCTTGATTTTAAATCTTCTAAGATTGTGTTTATCTATAAGGTTAAATAGTTCAATACTTCAGTAGTGAACTGTTTTGCCCATTCATATTCTGATCCTGAGAAAGGGGCGAACGACAGCCAGGGTTGAAGTAGAACCTTTTCAGACAACTCTCTTTGCTGTTTCCCAGCAACAGATGTAGAGTTAAGTAGAATTAAGTGACGACCACGAACGACCAATCCACGTCCATCAACTCCTGTCTCGTTTAGTGGCTCGCCTACACCAAAAGCGTCGTCATACAAAAGACGGCGGTGGACCTAGAACAAAGCAAGAAACGTAGGAGTAAGATAATGGAAGTGCAGTACGTAACAATGATTTCGTAAGATCTTTTCAGATAATTAATAAGTACTGCTGGAATAAAAGGCGCGAAACCCACGTCACTGAATCTGAAAATGAATTTTGAATCAAAGAAAATGACAGCTCTCAGATCAACATAGATTTAAAAATGAGCAGCAAGGTAATTAACACGAAACAATCACTCAGAAAAGCCGATTGAATTGGATAAAAATAAATTTGAAATACGTGACAAAACCTAACAAAGCAGAAAACATGGAAAATAGATAAGAGAACTTAGAAGAGTACAGAAATACTTTAGAAATAACATTTATTCAAGTTGTTATATTTACTTTATCCTAACACTATGTACGGTAGTGCTTCGTATGTAGAGCTGGACCGAGAAAAAAAATGACTGACGCATTTAATCTATTACTCTATGATGCTTACAAATAACTGCTAAGTTTGAGTTATAGCCATATTTAAACACCTACTTGCCATTATCGAGTGTTTTACAGCTTGTGAGATTCCCAATATCATTGAAAAGTGTTGCTAAAGTGGAGAACTGGGAACTAGCTAAAGAGCCAAAGTGTTCAGATTTCTTTTTCCTTTTCACGCTATCCAAATAGTCATTCATTAGATAGCCAGGCCGCGTTTTTGTTCAGTTTGAGACAAGCTGGTGGGTAAAACAAAAAAAACGCGGCCTGGCTATCTAATGAATGAGTATTTGCTGTAATATTCTTATCAATGTTATAAATGTAGCTACCAGTTTGGCCGCCAAGTTTGATTTCATTCCTTTAAGCCGCACGCTGAATCCTTTTTTGGCCGCACCTTTTTTTCACACCTAAGTGTTTTTGATTAGATATCATGACTACACCAAATAAGAAAGTGACACTCGATAGTAACCAACATTAGTCTTAGGATCGCAA